GAACATTACTAATTAAATCTAGTCATATCTTTAGAAAGGGAAAACAGTGATAGGATTTACTGAATTGGAATCACTATCAAAATCCAAAAACCCGGTCATATTCATTTAGCCACAAGCCAGTCTTAGTTAAATCAGGGCTGTCCAACAAAAATATGCTTTCATGAATTCTGGTACATCAAATTATGGTACACATAAAAAAAAGCCATGAGACATTTCTGTTTTGTAATAAATAAGGCAGTGGCCAACTATTCCTCATGAGTAGCTTTTTTTTTTTTTGCAGTTTTTGCCAGGGCTGGGCTCAAACCCACCACCCCAGTATATGGGGCCGGCACCCTACTCCTTGAGCCACAGGCACCGTCCATGAGTAGCTTTTTTGAGATAAGGTGTTGAGTCTGCCCTTTCTCTTGTCTTCTTAATGCCCATGAACATTATTTTTGTTCCAGGTATGGACTTCTTGGGATTCTCCAAATACTCCACCAGTATATCCTCTCACCACGTGATGCCTTTATTCTTACTGGCTTCTGTGTAAGAGGAGCCAATGGCCTGACCTGTGTCCACCCCGCCCAGAGAAACTTTGGAGACTCAATCCAGTCCTGTACTCACCTCTTTTTTCCACGGTGTGGCACTGGGCACACTTCTGAACAAAAGCCTTTCTCAGCATCACCCATATTTAATTCTTTCATTGCTGACAGTATGAAGATTCCTAGTTAGAAGCTGGAGGTCACTCTCTGATTAGTTTATATTTTAAAAAAGAATTTTGTGAGAAAGGAATTATATAGGACATGTCCTTGTTTGACTGGCTTCTTTAACTCCGCATGATTATTTTAAGATTCATTTATGTTATGGGTATCAATAGTTTATTTATTTTAATTTCTGAGAAACACCACAATTTGCTTATCTCTTCACCATGATGAACATTTAGGTTGTTTCCAGTCTTTCAACTATTACAAATAAAGTTGTTGTGAGCCTTTGTTACAAGTTCCGTATGGAGACATGCTTTCATTTCTCTTGGGTAAATACCTAGCAGCAGAAGGACTGGGCTGATAGGATATATATATGTTCAGCTTCTTAGGAAACCAAACTGCTTTCCAAAATAGTTGTACTATTACACTTTAGTTGCACTTTACATCGCCACCAGCAGTGGATGTGAAGGATGTGAGTTCTAGCACCTCCACAGCCTTGACAACGCTTGTTACTGTCCTCTTCATTTTTAGAATTAAGTGGTGTGTGGGGGTGTTCTCTTGTGATTTTGATTTACATGAAGATCTTTCGTGTGCTTATTTACCTTCCTTGAATCTTTTTTGGTGAATTGTCTCTTCTATCTTTTGCTCCTCTCCATTTTAAAAATTGGGTGGTTTTCTTTTTTCTTTACTTTTTTATTTTCCCAGGATGGGCTCCTATTTTTTTTCTTTTCTTTTTTTTTGGGAGATCGTCTGCCTTAGTCGCCCTTGATAGAGTGCCATGGCCTCATAGCTCACAGCACCTCAGACTCTTGGGCTGAAAGCGATTCTCTTGCCTTAGCCTCCCGAGTAGCTGGGACTACAGGTGCCCAACACAAACGCCTTTTAGAGCCATGGTCTCTCTCTGGCTCAGGCTGGTCTCGAACTTGTGAGCTCCCAGAATGCTGGGATTCCAGGCGTGAGCCACTGTGCCCAGCCCTTATTTTTTCAATTCATACCTTGCCTTTGCTGAAATTGACTTGTAATGACAATACAGTGAGTGGATAGCATATAATCACCGTTAAAGAAGAAATCTGGTGACTTTTAGGATGGTTTACTTGTACATTACTGCTTTGTATATCATCATTAATTTGTTGGATTGTGTTCAGTTGATCCAGAAAAATGTCCGTGGGTAAAGTAGGAGACGTTGCTTACAGTGGAGTCGTGTCCACTGTGCACGTCTGTCCCTGCTTACTTTTTCTTTATTCAGTCATCATATTGTCCAAAATTTGCATGTTTACCTCCACCTACAAATTCAAATCTTAAAATATTGTATACAGTAAATGAAATTTATTAATATATTATTGGATATTAACATGAGTTTTAGGCCGGGTGGAAATTAATTGATATTCGATTTCTCTAGAGTGATAAAACGTTCTGGAATTAAACAGTGGTCATGATTGTACATGTTTGTGAATGTACAAAGAAAACCACTGAACTCTGGGAGTTGGAGGCAGGTAGATCACTTGAATTCAGGAGTTCAAGACCAGCCTGAGCAAGAGTGAGACCCCCGTCTCTACTAAAAAACGGAAAGAGTAACCGGTGTTGTGGTGGGCACCTGTAGTCCCAGCTACTTGGAAGGATGAGGCAGGATGATCACATGAGCCCAGGAGTTTGAGGTTGCTGTGAGCTAGACTGACCTTGGCAACAGAGTGAAACTGTCTAAAAAACACACACACATGGTTCTAGACACTTAAAGAGATTTGGGGGGAAATCATTAGTTACACCAGGGTAATGAAGGATTACTTTTCAGTCGCTGTTGGATTAGGGTTAGACTGAGACACTTTCCCTTCTCTCTAGCCCTTGTCTTCATGTATGTGTGTATTCTGGATGTTTCATGTACATGATTCCATATGACCTTTCCTGTCAGGCTTCTTTCACTTAGCCTGATGTTTTCAAAGTTCCTCCACGTTGTAGTTTAAATAAGTACTTGGTTCATCTTTGTGGTGAGCGATACCCACCTGCATTGATACACCACGTTCTGTTTATCCATCCGTGAGTTGGTGCGCTTCGGTTTGTTTCCACTTCTTGGCTGTTACAAATAATGCTGCTGTGAACATTTATGGACAAGTTCTTACTTGGGCATGTTTTCATTTTTTTGAGGATATTCACAGGTGTGGGATTACTGGGTCTCATGGTAGCTCTCTGTTTAACCTTTGGAGGACTGCCAAACTCTTTTTCATAGTGTACCATTTTCCATTCCCATGAGCAGAGTATGAAGGTTCTAATTTCTCCATATCCTCACACACTGCCACTTTTTTTTTTTTTTTTTGAGGTGGAGTCTCA